CGAGGGGCCGGCGGCCCCGCCGGGCAGCTGCAGGCCCGTCCCGCCTTCCTTTCCAGCCGTCAGCCGTAAACTGAAAATCCAAATCCCCTTAAGGTTCACGGCACCTACTCAAACGACCAAATGGCTGACGTAGCAGGCGTACACCTAAGGAAATGATATGCGCGAAAATCTTGCCGTTCTCAAACGAAAACGGTAATTTCACAGGTTCCCATTTTCTCAAAGGTTTTGGTATTGGATTTTTCTTGTAAATCCGTTTTTTCTCTGTATCCCATTCATCCTTAACATTAGGAATCAGTATGTAATATGATTAAGGCAGCTACTTCATTTTTTTGGCCCATATCTGAGTACGTGGAAGAGAGAAGGGAGAATTTGGAGGGCCTTCACTTTCAGGAGGCACTTGAGCTTTGTTCATTGAATGACAGGCTTGTAAAAGTGTAAAATAAATACAAATATTTTTTAAATTTTTAGCCAGTGACCCTATCATGTTACTAGTTTATGAGAGTAATGTTTCTGAAACTGATTCGTAGTTTTTCCAGCAGGAAAAGGTCACATAGACTTTAATGATCTAATTTGAAATTCTTTAAACCTTGAAATCCTTTGAACCTTTACTTTGAAACGCAACTTCTTTCCCCCCAGGTCTCCTCCATGATTTTTTATTTTATTAGAAACTGCATTCTTAAGACTAATCAGTGCTTGTCATTGTTACTCACTTAAAGAATCTTATAGACAGTATTAATTTCATCCTAACATAACATCAGAACTACACATGCTTTATTAAGCACATTGGATACTAGCTATGAACTTAACCATATTTGATTTCCTGAGGGGTACGAAAAAAAGTCAAAGCAGTAATGAAAAGTAAGCTGAAAACATTTGAAGATACCCGGTTAATTTTCAGTATAGGGTAGCTCCTGGTAGGACTGAATAATGCTACCTTGCTATCTTCTTGTAATATCAAGAGATTTGCGATTTCATTTGAAAAATATTGATGTCTAAAATAGAAGATTCTGCATTAAGTAACATTTACCAACTTATCCTCTGTTGTGTTGGTTTGAAGGACAGCTCATAGAGTAGTTGAGACAATCATTTTCAGTCTTGAGGAGGATTCATGAGAAGAAACCGCCTAAGAATTGAGTGATAAGATAGATTTTGAACTAGGCAGCTTCGTCCTTGTTTTGTATACAAAGTGGACTAATGTGAGTGTAAGATTCATAAAAGCACAGGGAAAATGGAGATGGGGCCAAAGGAATTGTTTTGATTCATATAAAAGTTTACCAAATGAAGTGAGATTTCAAAGAGCGAGTGTTATGCAGTTAAATACACATGCTGTCATCATATGATGTTGTTCAATGTTCATTTTACAGTTGTCCATTTTATTCAGTAAATGACACTTTTCAGAAATTACAAATTTGTACTTTGTTTTGTGCTATATCAGGCCATTGTATGGAATTCATGTAGGGAATGGAGGTGGCAAAGACAGGACTTCTGCAGTACTGTGAAAGAGAATCTTTTTCAAGTGAACTTTGCATTCAGGTGAAACATGATAATGAGTTTTCTGGTAACCTGAAATTGTTAGTTAACATAACCCATTTTTTTGGTAATGCATTATTTACTGGGCCAGCCTTGCTGCCAGCAGTACATCACTTACAGCAGAGTGTTTCTGTCACATATTTGAGGATGTTGTCACTTAGATGTATTGTTTATCTCCACCCTTTGTATTCACCATGCACTCAATTTTGCTGCAGCTCACAGTTAAGAAGCCACTGCAGCATTATTGGAACAACCATATCACAAAGGTAAATACTGGCTCTTCTCAATATCCCAACTAGAAATATCATTGCATTCCTTAAAAGTGCTTTTTTTTTGTATGGCGGAGTCTTTATCTTTCTGGATAAAAATAGTTGCTCAGTCTACATATATTGCCATGAATTTTACTGTATTAGCGCTTCTAAACTATTTGTGAAATAAAAATTAAGTGTACTTTCTGAAGAATAAGATTTGCATAATACAATGTGAGCCTTAATTAGTACCACCTAGTACTTCTCATTCAATCCTGTACTACTACAGTTGTGTTATGTGTACAAGCATAGTAAATTGATTTTTTTAGCATTGTGTATAAGAAATACACTTTTATTCATAGTCTTGTAACTGATTGAAAGTTAACTGTCAGAAGACAAAGGTACTGTTCTGGTTTTTGCACTTCAAGAAATTATTAGCTTTTGTTTAGCCATAAAATCTCATATCTGATGTTGAAGTCTGGAGAAGGGTATGAATCTACCTCAGTCATGCAACTGAGCATTGTAGCTTTCTAGCAGCAGCAATAAAAGTAATCTTAGACAGATTTGTATATACATAGGAGAAGTCCAGTGTATATGCTTCCGGGGCCTGTCCTTTCTTAGACCATTTCCCTCTGACAGGATTTTTCTTTTCTGCCCTCAGTATAAATTTCTGTTAGTTGTACCTGATAGCCACTTTATAGCTCTCTGTTAGCTCTTAACAAGGTTGAATGAGTAGTGGGCACATGGTGTTCTTTTTGAAGTCCTGGTAGGCTTCAACTTACTATCTTCCAGCTGCATCAGGTTAGTGATCAGGTAAGAAGCAGAGACTCATTTTATCATGCTTTGAGATTATCCCTTGATGGCCCTTGGATATTATGGTGTGCTAACTAGTGAGAATCCTTGAAGAACCTTTGAAACAAGAGGTCCCAGATCTCTAGAAGCTTACTTTGCACTTTAAGCTGATGACTTGCTTAAGTTTGGCTTAGTTTTCCTGCTGAGTACTTAATTCGTGGCATTAATGACATGATGAATTTTTGTGCTTGAAAAGAGGGAGTTAGATTTAAAAATGAGTTGCTGACTCAGAGGTTGAAGCTGCAGGTAGTGTCTCCCATAAAATCAGGATGATAATGACTTCTCATTCAGCTTGGGATCTTTTGTCCAAAGTATTTGCATTTGACACTCAGTATTTCATTAATATGTCTATATAGTAGGAAGGGTCAATACAGAGTGCAAATGAGAATGTTTTCAAGAAGCATTTACTTGACCTAGGAAGAAATTCTGCTTGTGAGCAATTACCATTGTGATTTACGTAAGAGATCAGAACATTCTTGGCTGTACTTGAATCTTATTGACCCAGACAAAATAACTTCTGTTGTAATGAATTCTCTACCATAGCAAAGTTACTACTTTGAATGAGTTCTGTTCAATCCTCTACTCACTTTCAACTTTGATGGCTCTTTTCCGGTCTTCTCGCAGAGCACACAGCAGCATAGAGTTGTCCTACCTGAAGTCATGTGCATATTGTCTTGGCCAGAACAGACACTGTGATAGAGTGGAGATACAGAGTATTGGTATGATTTTAAAAATATATATTTTGTATACTCTCTCTCTCTCTCTCTCTCTCTATATATATATATAAATATATAAAAATATATATATATATATATATGTATGTATACTTTTTGATATTCAGATTACTTGGTTCCATTTGGGTTTGGGTTGAGAGCACGCAGTCAATTGCTTAAGAGATTTGAAATCTGTTACAGATTCTATACACTGAAGAACGCAAAAAGAAGTTGTCACATGTCTTTATGGATTTTGAAGAAGTGCTGCCTTTTTTTGCTGTAATAAAACATAGCTGGAGCTATACCTTAAACATTATTTAGTATATAATTCAGATTGGTTTTACCTTGTTGCCCAAGTCAATATCTCCTGACCTAAGCCAATACATGCAATTTTCTGGTACATTTAGCAGCTGGAGTTCTGTGGCTCTTGTGTCAAAAAAAACCTTTAAAAAATTGGTCCAGTTGCAAGACTTGAATTCTTACATACTTGGAATTTTAAGAATAAATCTGATCTCCTGTGGATCACTCTTGCTTAACAGACATAACTGGTTTAAAAGGTATGTTCTGAGCTGTTCTTCAGATATTCATGCTAATTTAATTTTACTCATTACTTTATAAACACATGGTTAATAAAACACTAAATGGGATGTCATGACAAATCACAGTGTCATTCACATTCAGGATAATTGAATATTCACATGCACATTATCATGTTCAGGATAAAACAACTCATAATATTGATGTGGCAATTGAGATATAGATCTTTTGCTTTATCATCATTAGGAAATGATATATGTAAAATACAATGCTAAAAGTTTTTGTCTATACAGATTATTAAAAATCTTTGATTAAGTGAATGTACTTATTTGAAAATATACAGGCATTACAATGGATTATTTCAGTGCTGTTTAAAGTTATTTAGAACTGATTAAATGTGACAAATTCCTGCTTGGTATGCAGTTTATATCAAAGTATAATTAACCGTTGTTACTACTACTACACAGTGTGTGAGGCACCTTTTCATGTTGACTG